GTTTCTTTGATGGTGTTGTGAAGAAAAATGGAGGAGAGAGGGAGGGAAAGCTTGGGTTTGGGTGGTAGGAACCCATATTTGAACAGGTGGAACTGCACTGTATCTAAGAAGTTATGATTTCTACATGTAACGTTATTGCAAGGACATTGCAACTTGTCACCATCCATATATGTAGGATGTAACAATACAAATTCAATAAAATCATCTACCCCATTTGCGAATTGAGGTTTTAAGAAACCGTCCTCAAGCCGTTGGAACATCCATAGTCGATCTGTATTCCTAAGTGATAAATACTTAGCTACAAAATAGCTACAAATTTTTATCGTAATATTTTTTTAAATAATTTTAATTTTCAATAAATTGAAGTTTGTCGGTATTTTGATGGTATTTTGTCGGTAAGTACTGACAAATGTTTTTTGTCGGTATTTTTTATCGGTAAAACTATATTTTCTTATAGTGTTATATATGCATTTGATGCACAAACAATCTTTATAAAAGCTAATTAATGCATAATAAGTGTGATATAATTTAGTGCCTAACAGATTGGAATCATAGATAGATTGGAGATGAGATTGTGGAGCTTTCAACCATGAAGATCGATGATTTTTTTGGAGGAGACGAAATGTTTCGTTTCTAACAAAGATGATGGTTTCTGTTATATTAAAATGATGTGCTTTATGTTGTTTAGATTAAGTTATTAATCCAAGACTAACCAGTGGGACCCACTAATATATTGTTTTATTCAAAATTCTAGGTTAATTTTGAATTTGAGTGCTAATATATCTAAGTTTCAAGACTGAAGTGTTCAGAGTATAAAGGTCAAATTAGAGTGATTTTACGATATAATTCATAAAGTTCAAGGTATTTTTATAGTTTAAGCCTTTTCTTTTGTAAGAAATTCTCATCACTTATATTTATGTATATTATTTTTAAAAATTATATATTTTAATTGCACCCCTCAATAAATTTTTTGGCTACGTCACTATATATATATTAGCTACTACTTAAAAAAAAAAAAAATTAGAACTTTATGTTTTCACCAAAGAAGCCCTGAGTTGGTCATTCTTTTGGCAAAACGATGGAATATTCTTTTAATTTGTTAAATAACGAATACGTAGGAATTTTGACTTTGTTGACCGGATGTAAAAGCACATATTTTCTGCTTATAGGATCTGGAGTTATTTTATTTTATTTTTGGTCAGTTTGAACTTAATTAGCTTTCTATGGTACTTTGAAAAAAAAAAAAAAGTTTTTTTGGGGTTATTTTTTAAATTATATTTTGCATGGTTTTAAAAACCGAACTGATTTGGCTAATCTAAGTGGCTTAGTTAGAAATCAAATTGTCGTCTAATTTGAATTGAATAATCAAAATGAGTGACTAGAAAATCGATCAGAATATATATATATATATATATGAAAATTGAAACAAAGAGAAAGTTTAAAGCCATTCTCTTTGTCTTGCATTTTATTTTTCTTTTGTTTAGCAAAATTTAAGTTTTTTTTTCTTATTTTCTGTATTTTGATTGGTCAATTTAATTAAATTTTCAATTTAATATTTAGTATATAATAATGATAATTGATATTATCTAACTTAATTCAACTAAAACAGTAACTTGAATTACAACAGGAGATGATATTATCTTAATCCTAATGGTTCATGTAACCTCTCTTTAGTTTCTTTATCTTCCCCTTCGAATATCGTTTCATTCCGCTTGCTTTTCAAATAGTTGTTTTATGTAAATTTTTCAGGTGTAGGTCTTTTATGGAACAAGAAACTAAATTCAAGAGGAGGAAATACCAACTGAATTACCATGTAATGATGAGGCAAAAATGAAAAGTCTTCCTCACAAATCTCTTTTACAGGCTATTAATGTGTAATATGATGAAAGACCTGATCTAAAGAGTAAGTTACAGAGGATCATGTGTGGGAGTTCTTACTTGCAGTTCAATAGAAAATGAGACATGAGATTGCAACAATATATATATTAATGCCAGATGTTGCTCGAGTATCTCATATTAAAGATTTTATTAATGCCAATACAATAATTGGTTACAAATTCTATCTATTAGAACCAATTTATTGATAAAATTGTATCAATTTATTTTAGTAAAAATCAATTTATTGGTTTTATATTACTTTCATTATGTAATATAATATTTATTTTTTAATTGATTTTTCATTTTTCATTAAATACATCTAAAACTATTTATATACAAATAAGTTAACAACATACTTAATAATAAAATAAGAGATAAGGAGAAAAAAAATCTATTCAATCATCTTTATTATTGATTTCAACATAAAATTGCAAATAGTTTTTTTTTTTTTTTAAAAAAATTAGCAATATAATGCATAATAATTATTCACACAATACCAATCACCCGCGAGCGAAGTGCGGGATTTCGACTAATCTATATATTCATATGAAAACTGAAACAAAGAGAAAGTTTAAGATTCTTTGTTTATTCAGCATTCTATTTTTCTTCACTTAGAATTTTTTTTTTTATATTTCTGTATTGTGATTGGATAACTTAAATATTTTAATTAATATTTATTATAGATTGTCATGTTACATCATTTAAATCTTTGAACTCTATCTATATATCAAAACACGGTTTTGGAGTTATTAAATTATCGTTGAACGCAATCTATACATAAAAACACGGTATTTGAGTTGTTAAATTATCATTGAACTGTATCTATATATAAAAACATGGCATTTGAGTTGTTAAATTATACATATACTCTACCTATATCTATTTAAATATATCTATACCTCTCTCTATATATATTCATGCATTTGTTTTTTTCATCGTTCTGCATTTGGGATTTGATTTGTTGCTTCTCATTAATTTGTTAGTAATTAGTTGCTTTTCTTTAATCTGTGATGATCATGTGACGAGTTCTTATTAACTCTATCTAATCATTTTCTTAAAAATTATATCAGGTTGATGCACTTATTCAATTTATGCAAGGAAAGAACACTAATCCAATCAACATTGAAAATTCAGGTTATCCTTCTTAACTTAACGGGCATAAAAGACTACAATGCTTGGACTCATGATTGGATCCTCATACCAGTACTTATCTTACAAAATTACTCTATCTTTCTATCATTCTCTATCTTTCGAGGGGAATTTACCATGATTGAAGTTGCCGACACTGTGAAGGACGTTAGTATCAATTTTTGTTGTCCATCTGGTCCTACATTATTATTTGACCCTGAGTGTGTTTGGGAATAAAATATATCAATAAGAAACTGAAAGTAGCATATGTTATAGGCAATTTCCTGCAGAGAAATACTAAAAAAGAAGAAAGTATCCAAATATATATATGATATGGATTTGTGATTACATAAATTTTATAGCATTTTTAAATAATAATGAATTGTATATAAAGCTTTAACAATATATTTCTGCAGTAACTTTATTTATTGTACATAGGGAGTAAGAAAGCTCTGAAAGGGTATTCGATCAAGACAGAACTACTACTTTGCTGAGAATTCACAGCAGCAAAGAGAACTCAAATGCAAGAAGTGTATGCAGTAATCCACGATAAAAAAAGAAAAGAACTGATTAATTAACTTCTTGCATTTTTAAATTTTCATCAAAACACTTAAAATAACTTTCTTTCACATTGATTTTAGAAAATTTTTTTGAACTTATTTAGCTGTAGGTTTCACATCATAAGTCATGTTGAATTTTTATTTTGGTATCAATTTTGTATATATGAATTAGAGAAGTAGGAGAAGAAGAAATAACACAATAGATCCTATGAAACATATATTTATACTTTTTTGTTTATGTTTTCAATGAAAATATAAGAACTTGACTATTTAATATAATTTTTACTTTAAATGTTTTTTGAAATAAATCAAGTTAAAAATGAGGTATTTTTTTTATTTTTGGCTTTCACATTAAAAATTATATTTTTTTTCTAAGGCAATAGACAATAACATATAAATAAAAATAAAAATAAAAATTCATAATTTATTTTTTTAATATTCTATTCTAAATTAATGAAAATAGTTATATTTTCTATCTAATTCCAAGTTAACAACTGACGGTAAATTTTTTTTATTTTTGGCTTTCAACACTTAAAAATTATACTTTTTTTCTAAAGGCAATAGACATAACATATAACATAAAATTAAAATAAAAAATTCTAATTTATTTTTAATATTCTATTCTAAATTAAATGGAAAATAGTTATATTTTCTATGTAAAACAAAAACATCTCTCGATTTTTTTTAAAGGAAAAATTTAAACTATACATATATTTATATACTATATATATACTATATATATATATATATTATATACTACTACAATATGAAACTACTTCAGATCTCATTTACTGCTGTAAAAGTTAAATCCTAATTCATTTATTAAATTTCTTTAGCATTTACTAAAAACTACTTTTCAAAATTAAAACATACAAACCCCTTCAAAATCTATATATATATACTAAAATATGAAATACTCAATTATTTATGTGTAAAAGTAAATCCTAATTATTATTATTTCTTAGCATTTTACTAAAAATACTTTCAAAATTAAACATTTTCAAAATAGTAATATATATAATAAAATAATAAAAATAATTCAAATAATTTGTAAATATCCATGGGCAAAGCGTGGTATCACGAATAGTATATATATAATCCTAAAGTAAAAAATAGCTTTGAAAATTAAACATTTTCAAATTAGTAATATAATAAAATAATAAAAATAATTCAAATAATTTGTAAATATAGCAAAAAATAGCTTTGAAAGGCTGTGTTGACACTCTTTTCTTTTTCCTTTTTCCTTTTTCCTTTTTCCTTTTTCCTTTTTTCAAAGATTTTTGACTTTTTTATTTATTTTTCTGTGATGTGATTGGACACTTTTTTAATTGTTTTTTTAAAAATAATTTTTATAAAAGATGTATAGATAATTATAATTTTAAAGTTTTATTTTGTTTTGTATTCTGTTACACAACTATCTATTATTTTATTTGTTAAATAGATATATAGATAGTGATCTATCCTCTTTGATTTCATCTTCGATCAAAAACTCCTTCAGATGGCTTGTCTAATTCGCTACATGATTGACAAAGACCTATCACAAAATAATGTGCCAGAAATTTGTCAAAAAGCTTCTCTGTTTTTGCTACTGACAACCACAAAATCATGTTCCAAAGGGAAACACCATTCATCAGGTTTGATTCTTCTTTCTTCTATATTTTAGATTTTCATTATTATACTTTGATGCTCAGTCTTTTTTTTAATGCTCGGATGAATTGTTGTTCATATCAAAAAAAATTAATTATTGTTTTCTTGATTTGGGATCGTTGAGCAGTTATGGCCTCAGTGATAACTAATGAAACAAATTTTATGGTGGCAGTTGAATTGAACCAGAAAAGTTCCAATCGTAAACCAAAATGTGGTTGAAAGAATGGTAGACTGTAAAAAGGGATGGTCAATTCTTCACGGGAAATTTCTACCCAAGCAAAGTCACACAGGGAAAACTCATACAAAAAAGAATTTTGTGATCAAAAGGGTATTTATATATATTGCCAAGCTCAATTCTTCTGCTTGACTTTATAGTTCTAACAGATTCTTAGCTTCATCTTGGATTTTTGTAGCTCGGCATACATCCTGATAAGAAAACCGAAGCTAATAAAAATATTGTGAGTTCATTAGCAAAGAGCTTATTTTGTTTTTGATGGCTGATCTTCAAAGATCTATTCCCTTCATGATTGATGCCCGAAGCCAACTCAGAGAAAGATATATTTCAGTTGTTTCAAGAGGAATTTGGTTAAGTATATTAAAGTTTCTTAGTTTCAAAGTTATGTATTTAAGAAGTCTGCATAGATGATCTTCAAATATTATTATTGTGTTTCTGTTTTTCCTCATTTTTATTTTATTTTTATTTTTGTTCTGTGTGTCATTATGTATATGAATTGATTGTGAGTCATCTTCAGCCTTTGGTTATAAAAATAAAATAACTACTAGAAAAATTTTACTTTTTTTTTATCACATTTTTATCAAGTATAGGACACTGAATTTGTAAACTAAACAAGTTTCAAATTAGTTTTAGTTAGGATGCTTAAAAAAAAAAAAACATTAGTTTCTATCTTTTTGTTATTTGTTATAGATTAATTTTGTTAAGTTTTGTATAATTTTAAACTTTTTTTTAATATTTTCAAAACATGTTTGAACTTATTTTTAATTGTCATAACGTATAAACTATGAACAATTGAATAATCAAAAATATTAAAAAAAATTTTAGATAATCATTCATCTTAAAATAATTGGACAGTTGAGTTTATTCAACATTATTTTTTTAAAATTTATTTCTTTATTTTTCTATATTTTATTGGATGGTATTTTGTAAAAATTTATTTCTTAATAGATATATAAATACATTATTTCCATATTCAAATATCTACCATGCTGGCTTGCACAAGAGAAACAGATTAAGGTGGTGACGAAGTTCTAGAACGTGGGATCCATTATCCTATAGCGGGACAAGGAGTGTTTTTCTTTTTTCTTTTAATTATCCTAAAAGGGTTGAGATTAAAAAGTTTATAAAATTAGTGTTTTTATTTGTTTCTTTATTTTCTTTAAATAAGTTTCGTGATTTGTTTGAAAAAATTTTTATTTGAGTGTCAGTGAATTTGTTTCGAATAAATAAAAGTTTACATAGAGTCTAAAAAGGATTAGAGATTCACTGAAACTGAATTAATAAATTAGTGAAAAAAATATTACATATTAGATTAAATAATATATCTATTTATATATTTATAAACCTCTATCCACATCAATAGACTAAACTCACTTTTACAAATTAATATTTAGTATGATAATTATAACTTTTAAAACATAATTTAACCTTAATCTTTTAAATTATGAATTTTTAAATTTTTATTTTATTTTATTTGTATTTTTCATTAAATAAATTTTTTTGTATTTTATTTTACCTAATTGGGTGAGAATTAACAAATCAAACCGGGTAATTACTATAGTTCAAATGAAATCAGCAAAAAGAAAAAATTGGAGAAGAAAAAATAATATTATATTTATAATAATTAATTAGTTTTTTTGGTTAAATGTCAAATTTAGTAATTTATTATTCTTTGTAAAAGTTATTTGGTATTTATAAATTTTATATTTCAGTTATACTTAATATATTTAAAATTAAAGTTAGATAACATGGTTTGCAAAAGGGAAACCAACCTAGAATTTAGGTTATATAAAATTTCGAGATATGTCAATTCAGAGAAAAACATGGGATGCAAAAGGGCAGGAGTGTAAATATCCAAACCCACATGGGATATTATTTAAAAAGTTTAAAATTAGGAAGGAAAAATTATTTAAAACATAACAATAATGATAAAAATATTATAGTTTCTTATCATTGATTTATAAAATCTTTAAATGAAATAATTGATTTAAATAAAATTATTGAATTAGAAAAATGTTTGATTATATGAATATTTGGTTTAAAAAATATCTATTTTTTTAATTATTTCTTGATTCTATTTTATCTAAATCATATTTCATTATTTTTTAATTATATTTTGATTTAAATTAAAATTCTTTTGAATAATAAATATGATTAGACAATGTTATATTAGACAAGATGGAAGTACTTTATTGATGAATGAATCAACCTCAACCAATAATATGATTACAAGCAGACAGGCAACAGATTGCAGAAAAGTTCAAAACGAGAACTTGAAAAAACAAAACGCTTTGCAAATATAGATGAAAAATCCTAATCCTTAGAAGCTAGAACTAAAAACCATTCTTGAGGCATAGGCATTGATGTAAGAATTAGCAAGAAATAGAAGTTCTTTATCTGAATCATCCTCATCCTCATCCTCGTAATTATAGTTATGATCTCCATCATCACCGCCAATCTTGAGGCTTTCTTGATCATCATCAGCACTATCCAACAACTTTTCTATCTCAGTAACCTTTTGATAAAAAGAGAATACCAATTCTTCATCCTCGTTGTTAAAACAATCATCAGCAGTATCGAGTAGCTCTTCAATCTCAATAACCTTCCTCCAAAACGATAATTCCAATTCTTCTTCATCAATATCATTACCCTCTTCATAAATGCGAAATTCAAATTCTCGATTATCAGTAAAACTATCATCTTCAAAAAAAAGCATTCTTCTTCATCAATATCAGTAATCTTTACATGAATGCGAAATTCAGATTCTCGGTTATCATTAAACCAATCATCGTCAAAAGAAAAGCATAATTCCCATTCATCATCGTTGTTAGAAAAGGAGTTTCTTTCATCGTCATTAAAAAAAGAGTTTTCTTCATCGCCTAAAGAAGATTCTGCAGAAGAAAAGGAGTAAAGCTTCATTTTTGGAGCATACAAATAAACGGAAACCTAAAGAGAACTACTGTGAAGAAACAAGAAGTGAGGCAGAGATATGCAAATTAACCGAGAATTGTTTGTTATATATATAAATTATATAACTGGTTCCAAATCCAAGCTTCTTTAACATGAATGCGAAATTCAGAATTCCCTCGGTTATTCATTAAACCAATCATCGTCAAAAGAAAAGCATAATTCCCATTCATCATCGTTGTTAAGAAAAGGAAGTTTCCTTTCATCGTCATTAAAAAGAGTTTTCCTTCCATCCGTCCTAAATAGAAGATTCTCCCAGAGAGAAGAAGGAGTATATATGCTTCTAATTTTTGGAGCATACAAATAAAACGGAAACCTAACAAGAGACAAACCTACTGTGAAGAAACAAGAAAAGTGAGGCAAGAGATAATGACAAATTAACCGAGATTGGTATTGTTATATATACTTAAATGTATGATAAACTGGTTTCCAAATCCCAAGCTTAAGAAAAGGTTTAGGCCTTTTGTCTCCTGGGAAAGAACCTGCGTAATTCGCGACGCAAATACAAGTTGAAGCCATAGAGATTTGGAATTTACTCAGAATAGAGTAAAGAATTTTCTCAAGAAGAACGGATGTTTAAATTATCAAAGAAGTTCTCCAAGAAAAAGCACTATGTTTAATTATCTTATAATTTCGTTATTTAATTTTCAATAACAATACCTTACGTTTTAAGCCATACTTAAATAAATAGGTCATGTATTATCCTGTTTAGAATTATAATCGGAGATTAAATGTAAACAAGCAAAACAACAAACTAACAAAATTTGGATTTTCGTTATTATCGTTTGTGTGTAAAGTATTTTGGATGGTTTTTGCAGGTAAAAGGATACTGAGAATGACAATGAACTCTGAAAATCTTAGCCAGGGCTGCTGAAAAAGCTTCAGTTGATTCCAGGTGAAAAATGATTGGGATAACGTTGTAGACCTCCATTTATAGCCTCTGGCCTGCAGGTGCCTTTAAGGGGAATTTTCAAGAGAGAATTTGTGGAATAGGAGAATCCGCCGACCTAATACAAATAAACGGAAACCTAAAGAGAACTACTGTGAAGAAACAAGAAGTGAGGCAGAGATATGCAAATTAACCGAGAATTGTTTGTTATATATATAAATTATATAACTGGTTCCAAATCCAAGCTTAAGAAGGTTTAGGTTTTGTCCCCTGGAAGGAACCTGCGTAAATTCACCAAGTTAAGCTAGGATTTGGATACTCAGATAAAGATAAAGAAGTTTCCAAGAAAGAAGGATGTTAATTATCAAGAAGTTTCCAAGAAAGAAGTATGTTAATTATCTTATTAATTTTCGGTATTTAATTTTCATAACAATATTACGTTTAGATATTAAATAAATAGGTCTCTGTTTTTTCCTTTCTGGTTTATAATCGGAGATTAAGTAAAAGCAAACAAAACACTAACAAAATTTGGATTTCTTATTATCGTTTGTGTGTATATTTTGATGGTTTTGCAGGTAAAGACTGAGATGACAATGACTCTGAAAATCTTAGCCAGGGCTGCTGAAAAGACTCAGTTGATTCCAGGTGAAAATGATTGGGATAACGTTGATGACCCATTATATTTCTGGCCCAGGTGCCTTTGGGATTTTCAAGAGAGAATTTGGATAGGAGTCCGCCTACGGAATTTTTCTCTCCTTTATGTTCAATATATAGGTTGCCCATCTGCCATGCTTCAAGGTTTGAATTGCCCATCTGCAATCTGTTGCCTGTCTGCTTGTAATCATATTATTGGTTGAGGTTGATTCATTCATCAACAAAGTACTTCCATCTTGTCTAATATAACATTGAAAAGAAGAAGAAAGAATTTGTGCAATTGAAAGTGAGGGCAAATGGGTAAATTCATAGCAATTGCCACATCATTTTACTCTTTAAATCAGTTATAAGTGACATGTCATGTTGTGTCAGCATGTGACTAGACTCAAGTGGACGTCACTACTTGCTGATTCATATTTTCAGTTGTCAATTCACCAGTAAACACCTGATTACATAATTTAAACGGTTTATAAACTCAATTGATAAAATTTTTCATTTATATACTAAATTAAATAAAGATTTCGATTTTGGTAATTGTTCATTATTTTATAATATATAAGTTTCACCTTCAAAACTAAGAAGTTAGATCCTGATCATATTGAATGTTTATAGTTGATGGAAACATCTTTTTTTGTATACTCCATTTAAATTTGTACACGTATTTTGTTATTTTTACAAGACTCTTTTTGAAGATTCAAACTCTATAATAATCCATTAATGTATGATAATCTTTTTGTAGGATGATTAATATATAATAATCAAATAACTATTATTAACAAGTTTGATAACCTAACCTACTCCTAAACAGTAAATAATCTATCTTTTATCCAATATATAATTATATTGGATCTTATACATTTTAAGCTTTTGGATTTCATTTGATTAAAATTATTGAACTAGCTTTTGAGTTTGATTATAAAATTAAAATTCTAGGAATTTGAATTATTTATTAGATTTCAAAATCTGTAAGTCTCTACCATATGTTAATTTATAATTGAATAAGTTCTGAAATTTATTACACCTATTCATCATAAACTCTGGTCTGTCTTTATATTATTTTAATATAACACGTTTTTCCTAATATATATATATTATTCAAAAAGTTGAATTTACCTATTACGGTAACCATGTTGGATATCAACATTTTCCAGACACAGCTCGGATATGTGTTAGATATTTTAAAACAAGTGTTCCAACATTTTTTTTTTTTTTTTAATTTTAGACATTTTAAGGATACTTTATACACACTAAGGACACTTCTTTGACATTATATGGACACTTTTGAAAATCTTATAAAGTTATTAGATAAATTTACTAATTAAAATTCTAAATTTGGGGTCTTAAACATAAATTAGATAACAAATTTGTACTTAAAATTAAAAATTAAAAGGCAACTAAAAGACACATAAGAGAAGAAAGAAACCTAAATTATTGTTTACTGTATATCTATCGTTATAAACTTTAAGACCTAATTCATAATTTTGATTTCAAATTCAACTCAAGATTTGTATTATTATTATTATTATTTCTTTCCATAACAATGAATACTTTTTAAACTACCCTCATGGTTAACCAAACCAAAATAGATTACAAACTTTTCAAAAACATAACAATGAATTGCCAGAGGGTATATGCAGCATTAATGACCCTATTGCCAAACGTAGCCTCAATATGCAATAGTGACGCACAAGGAAAATATCAAATGAAATAAATATATTCCCAATTTTTTTTAAAGGAAAGACTGCTTAATTATTATTAACATCTGAAAGCAGTACATCATAAATAATAGATGGAGGAGTATCAATCCACTCTATCAAATCAGGCATAGAAATAGTAATTCGTGCTAACAAGTAAGCCACATGATTCGTTAGTTTTTTGAAAAAACAAAAAGACAATGAAGTAAATTCTCTAGCTAGAGACTTACAATCATGAATCAAAATACCAAATAAGAATTATCCACTGCTCTATTATCTAAAGCTTGCTTAACTAATAAACAATCCAGTTCATAATCAGTGGAGCCGAAGCACAATCATTTTTCACCCAACTCAAAGCTTCCCTTACTCCTATTGCCTCCGCCAGTACTGAGTTTTGTACCTTCCCTAAGCTTTGACTTCTCCCTGTTCATCACGGAGCACCATGCCTACACTTGCCCTCGCCATTTTCTTCATTAAAGCATGCATCCATGTTGCACTTTAGACCTCCAGAATTTGGTTCGCATTTGGAAGTAAGGATGAAATGACAATGGGCTAGCCTTTGCTGCTTCCCATTCCTGCATATATTGATTAGCTTTATGCACAATAGAGGAAGCAGAAATAAGTCTTTGATTCCATAGCACCCCATTTCTCGCATTCCATATTTCCCATGCTAACATATTTGCCCCCTGTACCTATTGTTTATCACATCTGTCAAGTAATAGCATTAACCACTCCTGAAAACTTGGCACAGCTCCCCACTATTCGCATCAGAGAGGATCCAACAACTTCGGGCAAAAGTACATTGAACCAGAAAATGAAGGACCGACTCTTGCTCTTATCTTGGAGATTCTCTTATTAGCTAAAAATCTAATAAACAAAGTATTGTTTCTCATTCTTCCTTTAAAGTAGAATATAGAGCGCTTGCTGCCACCATTTGTGAAGTACAATGGATTCAATATCTTCTCCATGATTTCCATATTTCTCACCCCTAACCCACTAGTGTATATTGTGATAATCAGTCTGAATTACACATAGCTACCAACCCCACTATTCAAGAATGCACTAAACACATTGAATTAGATCGCCATTTCGTTTGTGAAAAACTAAAGACTAGTCTCATTCACCTCTTTCCTATTCTCTTTCATGCTTAGTTGGCTGATATGTACACTAAGCCCCTTCCTGTCTGATATACATTCTCCAACTTGTGTGGGGGGGATATTAGATGATAGAAACAAAAACCACAAAATGGTGAGCAGCATTGTTAATGAAATGGTGCACCAAGCAAAACAATAGCACTTTAACTGAGGATGCACTTGAGTAAAATGCTGCGAATTGAAGTTTTATTTATTAGTCAGGATAGTTAGTTTGTTAGTCCTATCTGACAAGGGCGAAGCTAGGGTTTAAATTTAGGGGAGACAAATACTTGAACGTGTAAGTTAATGGGGCAAAATGGTGAAGGTGTGTTGTAATTTGTTGATTGGCCGAGGTTTGATCTTTGCTACGGTAAGCTATTTTTTGAAATAATGTAGCTCTGCCATCTATTGTGAATAAATCCGCTATATAAATATAATCAATCCCAATCTGATTTGTCGACTCAATGTGAGGGGCAGTCAGTGATGATAGCCATGGTGCACGATAAATCAACGTACCGTTACCAATTTTGATTCTTCTGGTACAACCACCCGGTAGGATATCATGTCCAGCACACTAAGATCTCCATAGGTAACTCGGGTTTTGTCCAACCTCAGCAGCTAAAAAATCAGTCTGGGAAGTATTTTGCGTTACACAACCTACTTACCAAAGCATTTGGCCTGCTCATTAAGTTCCAGCCTATTTTAGCTAATAGGGCCATATTGAATTTATGCAATGACCTGAACCCCATGCTGCCGTCTTCCTTTCTTTTACATAAATTGCTCTAAGATCACCAGTGGATACCTGAGCCTCCATTACTTTCCTTAGTCCACCAAAATTGATTCATGCAGTTTTCGACTATTTGAAAAATTGTCCATTGGAAGAAGAAAAACTTGCATCAAATAACTGGGAATAGCTTGGATCACCATTTTGAGTAGTAGTTCCTTCCCTGCCCATGAAAGAATTGAAAGCTTCCACCCTTGTAATCTCTTCCATATATTGTCTTTAACATAAGAAAAGACCTCATTTTTGCTCCTGCCAATTAACGAGGGAAGGCCCAAATATTGACTTGGGGTATCCACCTGTTTCACACCAAATAGCCCTGTGACCACCTCCTTCATCTCTACCGTGGTATTTTTACTATAGTAAACTTCCGATTTATGGAAATTTAGTTGCTGTCCAGATGCCTGTTGATATAAAGCTAAACAATGTTTGACAATAAAAGCTTTCGAAGCTATTGCCCTGAAAAAATAAAATGCATCATCAGTGAAAAAAATGTGCAAGATGGAGGGTGTGGAACGTGTCACCTTTATTCCATGGAGCTGATTTCGATTTTCAAATGAGCTTAATAAAGCAGTCAGACCCTCTGCAACTATTATGAACAAATAAGGTGATAACAGATCTCCTTACCATAGCCCTCGGGATGGAATAATTAGTCCAAACTCTTTACCACTATGAGAGACATGGTAAACTATAGTAGTAACCGTCCGCATCATTTTAGAAACCCATTCATCACAAAAACTGAACTTCAACATCATCACAAAAACCCAACTTCAACATTATTGCTTCCAGGAACTGCCACTCTATGCGGTAAGCTTTACTCATATAAATTTTTAAAGCCGCATAGCCGTCTAACCCCTGTGATTTTCTCTTTAAGTAGTGTATGGCTTCAAAAGCTATCATTACATTGTCTATGATAAACCTGCCAAGAATAAAAGCACTTTGCTTTTCTGATATTGCTGTCTCCATACAACATCTCATTCGGTTAGCCATAGTTTTACAAGTAATTTTATCAATGACATTACACAATGAAATAGGCCTCAAATCAAAAACACATTCAATCTCCTTTTTTGGTATTAAAATGATACTTGTTTGATTTCCGGTGCAGGTGTATTTTCATTCAAACAAGATAACACAGCAGTACAAAGATCCATACCAACAATATGCTAGAAAGAGCGGTAAAAACCTAGGTTTAGGCCATCCGGTCCTGTCGCCTTGTCAGGGTGCATGCTGAACACAGCTGTTTTGACTTCCTTCGTTGTAAAAGGCTGTGTTAGAGCAGCGTTTTTGGCACCTGTGATTTTTTCTTCTACTGCATCTCGAATCATCTCCATTTGGCCTTGGTGGGTGTAAAAAGCTCATGAAAGTAATCTATCATCAATGTTCCAAACCCGAATCCCAATCCAGCCATCTTTCTTCATCGTTTTTGAGTTTCTGCACAACATTCTTTTTTCGCCTAGTTGAAGCCATCAAATGGAAGTATCTTGTATTGGCATCCCCATCTCTAAGCCAATGTTGTTTAGCACTTTGCTTCCAATATTGTTCTTGTTGATGAAGAATCTGTAAGTAAGCTTCTTTTGCAATTCGAAATTGTTGGATGCATATTGGATCCCTACTTGATTTAAATCGTGCCATTTGAGCTTTGCAAGTTTTTAGTCGATCACCAAACTGACGCTTCTTATCCTGACCCCATCTATGGAGATATTCACCATACTGCTCAATTTGGTCCATAGTTGGCTTCCTTTTCTCGGTTTCCCATGCTTCCATGACTGCTTGCTTAACGTCAAGTTCCTTCAACCAGGCGTTCTCAAATCGAAATCCCTTTGGCACATATCAAATGAAAGAAATATAGCTGAGTGATCACTACTCGCGACATCCAAATTGAAAATAGTAGCCGCTGCAAATTGACGTCTCCATGTTTGAGTTGCAAAAATTCTATCCAGTTGCTCACAAACCCATGCTGCTGTATCCCTTCCTCGTTCCCATGTATATTTGTTACCGACGAAACCTAGATCCTGCAAACCACAATTATTAATTGTCTGTCTGAAACCTTCTATAAGCCAAGTAGGGTATTGAATTGTACCTAGCTTATCCCCATATGACAAAATGTCAGTAAAATCACCCCCTATACACCATGGTAAATCTGACTTGTTTTTTAAATAGCTAAAAGCTCCCAAGAGGTTCTCTGTCTATGATGTTTAGGCATTCCATAGAATCCAGTGAAGCGAAAATGGGGTATCCCTTCCATATGGACACTAAAGTCAATAAAATTCCTATGATAGCCAATGAGAGAGCACATGTTTTGTTCCTTCCACATCAAAGCTAAACCACCACTTAAGCTTTCCGGTTCTACAACAAAGAGCCCTACAAAACCTGTTAAATTTTTCACCTGCTCAAGTCTGGCTCGATCCACCTTAGTTTCTTGCAAAAATAGAAGATTGGGTTTCTTATTGGACACCATGTCCTTCAGTTTTGAAACTATCTACAGGTTCCTTAGCCCACGACAGTTCCAACACAGGGTACTCATGACGATTGGCGGGCTTGGGAACCTGGGCCCGCCATACTTTTTTTGGACTATTTGCTAATTCAGTATCTTCCTCCATAATGGGCTTCTCAGTATCTTGATGTCGTTGTTTAGGGTCAGTAAGAATCAGGCCTTCCTCCAAACCTTGGTCTGTGGCCCTACTTGCATAGTTTCCTTTTTGAACACGAGATCTCCAGATCTATCCTTCCCTAATGAGTTCTCTCCCTAATTACGTTTTTCCAACCTGAATTATAGGAGTTGGAAAAGGAGCAAATCCTAAAGTTTTGGGGTCAATTGGTTATTTCGAAGATCCGCCTGCATCCGACAATGGACTATCGGGAACTGCTTTCCCTTCTGCCTGACCCCATCATCTGGTAGATGGTTTGCGACTATCTACTCTCATACTTGGGCCATAAGCAAATTGTTCTCTTATTATTCCTGGTGTCATGAATAATTTTCGGCAATATTTATCAGAATGTCCCAACATTCCACAAAAGAAACAGAATGTCGATAGTCTTTCATAGCGAAACGATATCCATGTCCATACACCACCAGCTTTCTTAACCTGCATTCGTCTCTTCAAAGGCTTCCTCACATCCATTCGGACTTTTATGCACATATATTCTCGCCATATGCCAGAAAAATTCCTCTCATCTGCTTCCATGAACTCCCCCACATAATTACCAATATCTCGTGCCACTCTAGCGGACATCAAACCATATGGAAGGTCATGGACTTGAATCCAAGAATTCACCATTGTCAGTTCAACATGTCTCAAATTCTTTACTGGGTCCAGAGTCTTCATTGTGATTAAATTCTGAGCAAAACTCCACGGGCCACCATTCATAACTCTATCATGATCAATCTGATGAAAAAATTGAGCCATAAAAGCATTGTTGCCCAAGTTTTTGATGGGTAACGCCATAACTAGCCTCTATACTTGTGTCATGCTTTTTTTTTAAAAACCAATATATTAATCAGTTTATCAATAAGCAATCGACCCACAATACAGCAATGTGGGTTATCTTCATGTGGCTCTTGTTCAGCTACATCATCTGTATACTCAAGGCGACCTTGTTGTTCTTCCAAGTTCAGGTTCGTGTATACTTCCTCAATAGGTGGAGACATATTTATGTCCATGGAAGTCTGGTTATCCATAATTTCTTTTGTAGGCTTAAAAAAGAATGGTATATGTATCCTTAATTAAGAATCAAAAAGAGAATAGATCATGCTAAATTAGCCACTTATGAAATTCCCCCACACTTATCCCATGCTTGTCCTTAAGCATGACTAAAACTTCAATTGACCTCTCATAGAAGCTCACTTCACCCTATCACAGCTTTCTTTAGCAAAAGATTGAAAAATTGAGAGGAAAGGCAAATAAGGTAATAATCATTCATAATATATTCCATCAAATCCATACTAGTATATAACAATCTCAAAACCATCATTTTTGGCACAAAACATAAAGACTTGGAATATTTTAGGCATCCAGATAGATTAGGTTCCACAGTAACTTAAGTTGTTGCACATCAAAACATAAGGCTAACTTATTAAGGCATAATACTCTAGGATTTGGAGCAAACATTCGGAAACTTTGGAGAACTCATGTGCCTTACCGCTTTTTAGGCATCCAGATAGATTAGGTTCCACAGTAACTTAAGTTGTTGCACATCAAAACATAAGGCTAACTTATTAAGGCATAATACTCTAGGATTTGGAGCAAACATTCGGAAGGGAAAGAAAGAGCATTTTTCTTTCTTTTTTTTTTTGGCAAACTTTGGAGAACTCATGTGCCTTACCGCTTTTTTCATTCTCTTTTATTCTGTTTTTCATTTTTTTTATTTGTTTGTAAACTTTAGGGAACTCATGTGCATTACCGCTTTTTTCATTCTCTTTTATTCCTTACTATATGCATTACTGCTTTTCTCGATCTACATCTTTCAATCCCCTAAAACATGCAACCATGTAATCCACAGTAGTGCCTCAAACAGGTTAAACAAAGTTTTGAAATATGCACAACAGTGAATTAAATACAAACAAATTGATGATTTCACCTATTAACTCAAGCCTAAACGATTTATAAAAAAAAAGAATGATTAAGGAATACCAGTTATGGTATGGAGAAATGGAAGTCTATCATTAAGCTTACTGTTATCTTGCCTAAAATCTCAAGAATTCAACCTAATGCAGAAAAATCTACTTTAGGACAAAGCACTTCTCTTAAGAGGTCAAAAGAAAGTTATTAATCAAGTTATGACAAGAAAGAAGTTTTGAAATAAAATTTTTCATTTAGCACAACAAACAATCAAAATTTCCAGGGGATAAGCACAAAAATCAGTCGAATTTTTAAGAGCACTTGTCAAAAGAAATATTTAAATTGGGTTTTAGAATATGGAAAAACTGCTCAAAAATTCAGTGCTTTACAAAATATAAACAAATTAAACAAATAAAAGCAAAATTAAACTCCACCCCCACACTTACTTCCCACATTGTCCTCAATGTGGAATCATAAATCAGGCATAAGGGAGTTTCTAACAACTAAATAATTGAGAAAAAAAATAAAAAGAAATGATTAAAGAGTGAAGAAACTTCCCTGTGGAT